ATCAGTAAGACACACAGCTTGGGAGTCCTAAGACCATCAATTATTGCAGTATTATTTTTTTATCTTTTATCCCACCAGATAGCAGAAAAGAAAGAAAGGGCAGTTTTGTAACAGCTTACACCATCAGGGTATTTTCAGAAATGAAGCAATTACTATAAAAGGTGGTCATATCCTACACACACACCAGGAAGAAAGTCCCACATTTTGTCATATGGTCCTCGGACTCCTATCTTGATGACCTTCTTCCTTGGCCCTAAAAGAGGAAGTTTCTATACAAATACTACCCTAATAAGAGCTCATACATAAATCTGGAGGATCAAAAGAACCAAAAGGACCTCTGTACTCCTCCTAATGGTTCCAGTCATCTGTTTACCTTTCCTCACGGCATGCATTTCCTGCACATCCTCCTGAAGCTCTAGACTGGCTTTGCAGAAGACGCTGCTGCCCTTCTGGCTCATCTGGGCTGCCAGGAAAGGGCATCTGCTCGCAGTGCCCTGGCTTGTGGCAAGGGAGGGATGTCCAGACGGAATCTGTGTGCCATCTGGAGTCTGCTGGGATCCATCAGGAGCCTGCTGACCCTCGGCTTTGGCAGTTTTGTCCTCTGGGGGGTGACATGGAAAAACTGAAGCATCAGATCTGGTTGCACAACACGCAAGAAAGCCCCTTGTTTCTTTCCCTTATTGCCTCACAGAGAAGTTTTATACTTACTCTACCCCCACATTTTAGGCACAAGTTGACTTTTATTAGATTCTGCTAATTGAACCGTTTTCTCATCTGCCTCACTGGAATCAATGTGCCTGTGAGGAGTTGATTGGCATGATCCAGTTACCTTTCAAACCCACAGTATTTTTCCCTTATAAATCCACCAAAAGTAGTATTTTCTAGTTTCAGACAGCCAACAGTTCTTGAGATGGATTTCAGTAAATCTACCCTAACGACACACAACATATTTCAGGAGGGGACACACTCTTGAAGGTAAGGAGAAATGTTCATAGAATTTTTTTCTCTGCTTATATATATATTTTAATTTTTTTAATGCTTATTTTTGAGGAGAGAGCACGAACAAGCAGGAGAGGTGCAGAGAGAGGGAGACAGAGAATCTGAAGCAGGCTCCAGGCTCCATGCTGTCAGTCCAGAGCCTGACGTGGGGCCTGAACTCACAAACCCGAGATCATGACCTGAGCTGAAGTCAGACACTCAACTGACTGAGCCACCCAGGTGCCCCTCTCTGCTTATATTTTCAAAACACGTTCTTGACAAAAAGGCTTGCTGTTGCTTAACATACAAACTACTGATTTTCTTCTTAACAAAAGAAATTAGGCTAAAAGTGAACTCTTTACATTTTTGTCTAACAGAATTCAAAGTATTAGTATATGCCAAGAAAAAACCACACGGATATCACATACACAGCATCTACTAGCTCATCTAAATGCATCAAACTAGTTCACTGACTTAACACAGTTGGCTGGTAATTGTGCTTCTACTCACAATGACTCTCCTTTCCCCTGAAGCAAATTCATTCACCTTCCTTCTAGTAAAGTCTTATTCTGCATCTTCCTGGAATACTGTGAGTCAGAGGCTAACTTCTACAACTTGGTAAGATGTCTCAATGCAGTTTTCATTAAAATTTTCTATAAAATCAAAAAATTGTGGGGCGCCTGGGTGGCGCAGTCGGTTAAGCGTCCGACTTCGGCTCAGGTCACGATCTCGCGGTCCGTGAGTTCGAGCCCCGCGTCAGGCTCTGGGCTGATGGCTCAGAGCCTGGAGCCTGTTTCCGATTCTGTGTCTCCCTCTCTCTCTGCCCCTCCCCCATTCATGCTCTGTCTCTCTCTGTCCCAAAAATAAATAAACGTTGAAAAAAAAAATTAAAAAAAAAAATCAAAAAATTGCTTTGAAGTCCATGTCATTCATTATAAAAGTAATACACATTCACTGTGGGAAATCTAGAAAAAAAGCATTCTATCATTCAAAACATAACCATTGCAGGCATCTTAGTAAATTATGTTTTTTTAAAAACATATTTTTTTACATATGTGCAAGTTTAAAAAAGTTTTACTTATTCTGCATGTGCTTGCTTATTTTGCCCTTTTCATTATAAAGATCAAAATAGCCTGTGAATATCATTTGCAATGGCTGCAACATCTATCAAGTGAACAAGCCACGTTTCACTCAACTTCCTCTATACTAGAGACAGAATAGTAAAAGAGGATCTTGACTATTCAGGAAAAACACATAACTAACTCCTAAAAGAGTAAAGAGGAAAAGAAATCCTACACAGGATTATATCCTTTCTGCTTACAAAAAACAAAACAAAACACTCCTTTCTTACAAGAAACACATCCAGAGAACACACCTAACAGAGTTTACAAGGTAAATTATTCTCTAGGATTAAGTGAAACCTGAAAAGCCACATCCTCTCCTGGTAGAGCCAGAGAAAAACTACATCCAACTCTGATCTCTTTATTAAAAACAAAATTTAGGGGCGTCTGGGTGGCTCAGTCAGTTAAGCGTCCGACTTCGGCTCAGGTCATGATCTCACGGTTCGTGAATTTGAGCCTCATGTCAGGCTCTGTGCTGACAGCTCAGAGCCTGGAGTCTGCTTCATGTCTGCCTCTCTCAAAAATAAATAAACATTAAAAAAATTTAAAGATTCATACATAAAATAAAGATACATGTATTAAAAAAATCACTAATGAATTCTCTGATTCCATTGATGTGAGGCTTCTAGAGCAGTCAAATTCAGAAACAGAAAGTGGAATGGTATTTGCAGGGGGCGGGGGGGGGGAGTTAGTGTTAAATGAGCACAGAGTTTCAGTTTGGGATGCTGAAGAGCTCTGGAAATTGGATGGTGGTTGGGCTCTGCACTGACAGTGTGGAGTCTGCTTGGGATTCTCTCTGTCTCTCTCTCTGCCCTGCTCTCGCTGTTTCTGTCTCTCTCAAAATAAATAAGCTTAAAAAAAATTTAAAAACATATGAATGTACTTAACACCACTGAACTGTACATACAGTTGGTAAGAAATGGTAAGTTTTATGTTAGGTGCATTTTACCACAATAAAAAAAATAATTTAGAAAAGAAAAAAGTTACAACTTTAAAAGCCAAAAGCTTCCACTCAATTTTGCTGCAAACCTAAAACTGCTCTAAAAAATAAAGCCTATTTAAAAAAAAAAAAAGCCAAAGAGCCAAATATTCAATGAAGGAAAGGTTGAACTGGAACATCCCAACTTTATATTTATGTGAATGAGGTACTGATGAACACTAAAACTCCAACAGACATCGAATACAACCCATAAACCTGTAAGGTGCACACTGGCCACCATCTCACCTTTCCAGATGGGTAAACTAAAAGTGCATACTTGCAGGGTTAGGATGCCAACTGTGAGATAGTCCATGCAAAGAATCAAGCCTGACACAGAGTAACTCCCTCTGTTACTGTGCCCCCATCACCGCTGTGGACTAGAAGTGCATCTAGTCTAGTGATGAATGCTAACACTGCCACCTCCTACTTTATTGCCAATGACACTTACTCTCATTAGCTGGAGGGGTTTCTTTGACCTGCTGGCAGTGTACTGTTGAAGTGGACAGGGCCCGAGGGGCTGGCTTGGCCCCAACTTCCATCATCTTAGGGCAGTTTTGGGCATAGAACAACAGAGATTTGCCTGCCTTCTGCAGAAAGGCCTGAGGCACTCTGGATAAGAATGGGCAGCGGCGAACAACAGTCTCCATGTCCGAGAGGGTGCACTGATCCTATAGAAAGACAATGAGTGACATCAACACTTAATAATCAGGCAAATACTACTGCAAGGTCATTGGGTTCAGGTGTTGCCCACAGTTTATAGCAAGGGTACCCTGGGATATAACAAGTCTCACATAATAATGTCTAAGGACAGCATTCATGTGGGACTCAACTAATTAGTGGTGACCATACTCTACCCAGGTCACCAACTTCTCCTTTCATTCCCCAGCTCTACACAAAAGCACCTGCAAAGCAACTTTACCAAGTGAAGTAAATACCGATGATTAACCACCAAGGGGCTGAGACAACAAGGGACAAGTCAGGAACAGGTTTGGGAGGTCAGAGGCTCCTTGAGGAAGATGCACAGTGCAGATAAAACACGTTGGCACACACCCAGATGGAGAAGTGAGGCTAGGGAAGAAGTCACTGTCATTCATCCAGGCAGAGGACTCCTAGGGATCCTAAACTTCTCCTGGTCCTCACATCCCCAGACCCCAGGAAGGCACCCAGCTGGGCTCTGGGTCCCAGAGGCAAGGATTTCCCTGAGGTCATCCCCCACAGCTCTAACACGACTAAACTGAGAAAGGAGGGGACATAAAGAAAGGCAGGAAAACGAGGGGAAGTACGGTTGGGGCTAACTGGGGAGAGGCAGGAACTATAAAATCGAGGGTGTTGGGTCTGGAGTTAGATCTAGTCCTCGGCGGGGAGAGGTCAGAGGTTATCCGGGGGTTGAGGGCTCGAGAATAACGGAAAGAGTATGAGAAAGGAATTCTAAAGAAGCGGCCAGTTAAATAGGAAATGTAAGGAGGGAGCTGAATAGGGTACACTGAGGCAGCCCAATGGGCTAAGAATCTGGGAGATGAACGCTGACCCCCGAGCAGGCAGGTGATGGGTGCTGTGGGGGATGGGGTCCCAACGTCCGGGAGAGCCGGGCGCGGGCTGGCAAGACACGCGGGGACTTCCTTGCCCGGCGCCGTACCCAAAGCGCGGGCCCTCACCTGCGCGGGGGACTGCAGAGGCGGCGACGGCTGTGGCGGAGTCGGCAGGCACCCAGGCCAAGCAGAACCAAACCGTTGCCCTTGTCCGCGGGAACCCTCAGGCCGCGAGCGGCGTCGCCCTAATATACAGCCAGAGTGAGCGCCGCGCATGCGCCATGGGCGTGGACTTCCTCCGCGCAGGCGTACCGCGTCGAGCTCTTAGCGTAGGAAGGGCGGGGCCCCTACGTGGGCTTGGCTAGTCGGTTGGGACCTGGGCTTTCCCGGATCGCCTGCCAAGAGAAGGAGGGGCACGGTAGTGGATCCTACACCCTCTTCTTGTTTCTCTACTAACTGCACTATGCTTCAGAACCCTGTAAAAGGGCAGAGTCGGAGGGGAAGTGCCCCTGAGGACAACTGGGACGTTATAGGGTTGTAGAAACTGGTGCCTTGGATATAGAAGAAGGAGGGTAAGGAAGGCGTTCCGGACCACGGTCTAAAGCAGGATCCGCCCTGTCTGTGACGAAGGGCTTCCCAGAAGAGGTGGGGGTGTAGTGTATTTGCCCAAGGATGGAGTGGTTCTGGGGGTGATGTGGGGAGAGGGTGAGGCTGGAGGGGACCCCTCGGAGTCCGAGATGAAGGGACTTAATCTGAGGCAGAGAAAGGGCAAGAGGGGCTGGGCTGGATAGAACCCGTGTACTACACAGCTCTGAGCACTATCTGGAGATAGTGTGGAGGCGCAAAGCCTGACGTAGTTAGGGTTTGACACATATTATTATGACTTTTTTTTTCCATCGCAGGCAGTCCGAAGTCTCTTGCTGGCCGCCTTCGGCACCAACTGGGCGGCTCAGAACTCCATCCCAAAGTTCAGAGTTGGGCCATGGCTCCTTTGGGTCTCCCCAGTCCACACCTGCAGGGTAGGGTTAGGCAAATCCCTCTCAGGAACACCAATCTGCTCCACACCCTTCCCAACTTAACTTGAGCTGGGTTGGCCTGGGCCTGTGCCAGGCTCACAGCTGCCCTCCTCCAGTCTTGAAGGGGCCATCCAGGTTGCTCCTTCCTTAGCTGGGCATTAATAATAAGAGGGACAAAGTCCAGAGTGATGGTGACTAAGATGTGTCCAGGTACTTCTTAATTCCCTCTCTCTTGAGTCTCCAGCCAGCTGAGAGGCAGGCAAGGGGAGACTCCACATGCAGAGGAGGCAGCTGGGTCCAGAATGGCACCAGGACCAATCCAGGGGCCCATGAAGAGGGCTCTGGCCTAGGAGTCCTGGGCCGAGCTCTGCCCCATCCTGCTGAGAGGAGACATGAGGAAAGGTCAGCACTTGGACTCAGACCCAAATGCACCTAGAAGTGGAAATGGTGAAGATGGTGTTGAGTGTTTTGCTCTTCTCTGGGCCTCACTTTCCTTATCTGGGCAATGGGATCATAATCCCTGTTCTACCTGCCTCACAGGACTGTTTGAGTGATCAGAGGTGAAACAGAAGCAGAAAGAACTGGACATTGGAACTAAATATGGGTTCTAACCCTGGCACTGAATCTCACTTGGCCTTGGGCAGGCCACAACCTCTCTGAGGTTCATTTTCCTCATTGTAAATCTCTCCCAGCCCTGCCACTTGTGGTTGGCAGGAGGGTCAGGTGAAGTCATGGATTTCAGAGGCTTATTGTTTAAACCAGCAAGGCTCCAGCTGGGAGTTTCCTGTTTAATAGAGGGAAAGGTTGAGAAACAAAAGAGACTCACTTGGAAAGTGAAATAGAATGTTGTAAACAATTCCAGATGGAGGAGGAGGCTGTTACTCCCCAGACACTGAAGGAGGGGGGATCCCAACCACCAAGAAGCCTTCCGGAAGAGTGTGCCAGCTGGAAGGGTGGGTCTACATGCAACTGGGAGACTGATAAGTGAAGCTTTCAGTGGGAAAGTCCCAGGCCTGTCCTGGAGGGTTAGTGTGAGTCAGCCTGAATAGCTGGGCTTCAGGGATGCAGCTAGAATGTGAGGAGGTAGGAGAGAAAGGCCATAAAGGGGCCACAGAGATTTCCAGTGTCAGCTCAAGAACCACCACCAGGGCAATGGTCAAAATGCGTATTCGCAGGCAATGGCCCTTTGATTCTGACCCAGGAATCTATATTTTCACCAGGCCTCTCTCTTGGTGATGTGCGGGCAGCATATCTTGGGGCCACATTTTGGGAACTGTTTCCTGAGTGGTTTCCAGTTTGGGATTTTGAAGGGCAAGTACTAAAGCCATGAGTTCTAATCCTGGCTCTGCTACTTTCTGATCGTGAGGTCATCAGCAAAATACCCCACATCCTAAGCCTCTGTTTTTGCATCTGTAAAGTGAAAGTACCTCACCTGTCTCGCTAATGAGTCTGAGTGGGTCCCATTCAGCCTTCCTCTCCTCTCTTCTTCCTTCCCCATTCTTTTTCCTTTCATCTCTCCATTCCTCCCTCCCTTTTCTCCCTCACTGCTGTCTTGCCTCCCTCCTCAGAGCTGCAGTACAAACTCGTCTTATCACCCTGGCCCTGGGCAGGGAAGACCAAGCTGCTGGAGTTCAGGCAAGGTCAGGCTCCATTCCGGGGACAATGCTGAGGCATGACCTCTCCTCCCCCACTTCTTCCCTCCACCCCAGTCTGCGTCATCATCGTCGTCTGGGACTGCTGCACACAGCACTCCTCCAGCGGTCAAGGCAGAAGGAAAATGTCAATCCCAGCCCCAGAATTCATCCTTTTCCACTCTGGGCCCCAGAAACTACTTGAAGTAGTGCCTCTCTGTCAGAGTGAAGGAGCCAACAAGGGACCTTGGACAAGCTTACTGCTTTCCTCTAAGCCTCATTTTCAACATCTATCAGCCAGGCAAGAAATCCCTCCAATTCCCCAGCCCCAGGAGATCCAGATGGACATGGGACAGTTTTGAAGATAAATAAAACCTCTAGCCTGTTCTTCTGATGCTTGGTGTGCCCTTGGTTGTGAGCCAGCCATGCTCCTTGGGATGTTAGTGTCTGTCTATCTGGCTGGCTGGCAATGAGTGGGAGATCAGCCTTACAGAATGGTTAGAGACTCTGGAAACAGTTCAGCTCTGCCCTACAGAGTTGGAAATGTGAGCTCCAGGGTTAACAGTAATAGGGTCCAATAATTAGCATAGGAGATGGACTCTAAGGGTTGGGCAGGGTGGGAGGGTCCCCAACACCTGCCTTGTGCTGGCCCTTCCTTTGGAGTCTTCTTAGGCTCTGGCCCACCCAGAAGACAGGCCTGGGCCTGGGTTTGTAAAGCCAGCTTTGGAGCAAGGGGTGGGTTCTGATTGGCTAGAGGAGAAAGGGGCTGGATTGGGGCAAAGCCATCAAATGCTCCAGGAGGTGTGTTGGGGGGGGGGGGGGTGGATTGCACGTGGGGAATAGTATCCCCTACCCCCAAAGAGCAAACACTATTCTCCCAAAAAGCCTTGGAGGACCCCTGAGCCTAGCCCTCTAGGATAGAACCCACAAACTGTGTTCCAGATATGTTCTCTTTGACCCAGACAGTGCTTTTTAAAAATGTGGATTAGTTACCAACATTTAATAATCAAGATATTGTTACACTGAAATATTCCCAACTTTCCTTGAGGGATCAGCATGCCTGGAGCCCCTGAGCTGGCCCAGGCATAATTTGTTCTCCCCAGTTCTCTACCAGCCCTCCCGTCAGTGGGTCCCTGATCCTTACAACATGTAATGTCCCAGCAATAACATTTCTGGCTTTGTAGGCATCTGAGTATGTGTCTGTAGCCCTAACCCATTTTAGAGCCAGGGTGACTAAGATCCTGAGAGGGGAGAGGTCTCACTCAAGGCCACATAGCAAGTGAGGTTTGGTCCGCAAGGGGACCCAAGTGTCTTGCTTTCTAAGCCACACACTGGGCTTTTCTGCCCTCACAGCCTCTGGAGGACAGTCTGAGGCAAGGGGTTAGGGGAAAGATCAGGCTGGTTGTGAGGGCTTTCTGGAAGGGACTAAGAGATGAGTTCCCTAGTGCTTGTCCTCATTCAGGCCCCACCCACAGCCCCTGCATACAGATCGGACCAGGGCAGGGCCTGTGAAGTGATGGGTGGTGATGGGATGGAGTAGGCTAAGCCCCTGCCCCTCTGGCCTGTATAGTATTCACAGGATGGAGGAGCCTTGTTCCCTGCCCTCCTGGGATGCTGGAGAGAGACGGCAGGAAAGTACCTGTTTTGAGACTGTGACCAGTGTGGTCAAGGGCGTGGGGACAGAGAATGGCAGGGAGGGAGACCCACATCAGAGCTGGATCCTGGTGTTGAGGAGATGCTGCCGTGGACAGGTCAGCTAGGCTGAGGGGGCCCCCAGTGAAGGCTGGAGGAGGCTGGTATGGAGGAGGGACATCAGGAGGCCAAGGAGGCTGCGGCTCAGAAGGAGAAGGGGGTGTGTGATGGAGATTGGAGGAGGTTGGAGTCCCAACAGTGGGCCAGAGTCCCACTGTTATCAACAATGTGATTATCAACCAAGGTAAGGCCCTTAAATCTCTCTGGCCCAGGAGCATTTGAAGGCCTGCCCAGCACCCCTTCTGCCAGACATTGAGGAGCTGAAGCAAAGGAGGAGGAATAGGGAAAGAGTGAGGGAGGCTCAGAGAAGTGGTACTGGACAAGGGTAACTAGGAGAAGGCCAGGGAGAGATTATAATACTACAGCGAATGGGTATGGCAACAAGAACAGCTCTCCTCAATGTTTTGGCCTTGCGCTGTGATTATGTGCACAATTTCAGGTCCCCTCGGAGCAACCCTACAGGTAAGTGGAATGAGGAGACCCATCCATAGGGCAGAAGCTTAGAATGGTTAAGTAGCTTGCCCAAATTCACACAACCAGCAAGTGGAGAGTGTGGCTTACCTGTTGGCCTTGTGCCTTCTGGTCTAGTATTCCACCCTGAGGAGGATGAGGAAGCTGGGAGGAATAAGACTGGGACTGTGTTGGGGGTCAAGGTCTGAGTGGAAGCTTCTCTCTACTTCCAGGAAATCGGCCTAGTTTGGGTAGGCAGATGGGAGTTCCCAGCCAAGGAGCCAACCAGCCTGACTCTTAGTGGGAGTCACTTACTTTGAGGGACCTCTGGGCAGCCAGTCATGGCCTCAGGAGGGAAGACTCCTTCCAGAACCCACACACTGGTAGACACTGTATTCCTTCTCTATCCCCTGCACCTGGGTTAACAGCTCTGGGCCCAGATGCTTAGCAGTAGGACTCACAGCCTGGCATAGACCCCCTTCTGCCTTCCTCTCTCTTTGGGGCTCCTGGAAGGAGAAAAGGGGGCCCTGGCTCTACAGGTTTTCTGTCCTGTACTCCAGAACTCGCCTCCTTTCTGTCTCCTCCTCTCCCAGGCCTCCTGGACACTCCAGCCTTCTCCAGTGCTAACAGCAATCCCTAAGAACAGCCCATGCCTTCCTGAATTCTGCCTCTGCCATAGGCACAGGCCTGGCACTTGTGTGTGTCTCTGCACCTAATTCCCGAATGTGCCCTACAAAGTGGAGATGCGCAACCCATTCTTAGAGAGTGGAGGCAGGATCCTGCTTGTGTTCAGCTCCCAGCTCCGTCTCTGTGTGCCCCCTGGCCTTTGGCAGACAGCACAGCCTCTCTCAGCTTCCATTTCTGCATGCACGAAGAGGGAGTGGTACTTTCTGTGATGGTTGAACTATGTGTCCATTTGACTAGGCCATGGTGCCCATTGTTTGGTTAAACACCAGTCCAGATGCTGCTGTGAAGGTATTTTGTACATGTGATTAACATCAACAGTCAGATGACTTTAAGAGAAATTATCCTTGATAATGTAAATGGCCCTCATACAATCAGCTGAAGGCCTTAAAAAGCAAAAACCAAGGTTTTGTGGAGAAGGTCTTTTGCTGCAGGCTGTAACATCGGAATCCTGAGTTTCCAGGTTGCTAGACTGCCCTACAAATTTCAGATTTGCCAGCCTCCAGTCATCTGAGCCAATTCCTTAAAATCAATTTCTCTCTTCATATACCTATATCTGTCTTACTGGTTCTGTCTCTCTGGAGAAACCTGACTGATAAACCTGGTGATAAACACACATGGTTGACACGAGGGCTCGCTGAGCCACTGCCTCCGTGCTTGTGGCGGGAGGGATCAGCACCTGGAAACAGCATGCAGTTAGTATTAGCTGGTGGCTACGGATGAAGGAACTGAGCCTCGGCAAAGTAACTTGTCCAAAGTTTCAGAGCTCAAGGCAGTATTTGAGCCAGATCTGCCTTCCCAACGTGTCCTTGCCCTGTCACCCTCCTCCTTGCCAAGAACCTTGGGTCGAGGTGGCTCCCTCTCTCCAGGATCCCCTTTGGGTTGAATGAAAGCCCTCAAGCCCTGGTGGGGGAGGTGAGACCGGAGGCACTGTTGGGGCCCGGCTGGTACTGAGTTAACAGGTTCTTGTGCAAGACTAGCAGGCTTGTGACATGCCAACATTCACCAACCCTAAAATTGCTGTGGCCCTGCTGTGGCCTTTGGAATCGTTGGGGTGAAATCCGCACAGGGGTGATGACCAAATAACGACCCTTCTCTTTCGGGATGGCTTCTTAGCCCCACCACCCACCCTGCAGACCTAGCAAGCTAATCCCTGTGCCTCATAGACTTGGGGTTAGCAGCACAGGGTTCTGCAGGGACCAGGTCAGGGAGGGCAGTGGGTGCCCTGGGATCCTCTATGTCTCTGCTCTGCTCATTGTCATCTATGGGACACAACCTAGTGTGGCCAGGCCTTCTTCCCATTATTTCAAGAATAGCCTCACATCCAGATTTTGATGTGAGCACTTGGAATTCTTATATTTTTAAATATCAAAAACTTAGTTGAGTAGATAATATTTGAATATGGCTAAAATGCAAATAGTATGACATGGTAAAAGAAAATTTTTCCCTCATTCAAATCTGCCCATAGACACAACCACTGCTTCCAAGTTTTTATGGGTCCTTCCAGAAAGATCCTACTCAGTCATTCAACATTTACCTGTTGACTGCCTACTATAAATGACCTGCATTCATAAAACACATTTTGCTCCTTGTTTTTTGTGTTTAACACTGTAGCTTGGAGAGAGCCCTGTAGCAAGCAGAGAGACTTCTTGTGGCCTACCTCATCTCTAGTTGCTCCGTGGTTTCCGGTAGGTTGCTCATACAAATTCTTGAATGTGCTTCTTTGTATGGGGTGAGGACTTCTGTGGGATATTTAGAAATTAAATCACTAGGTCAAAGGGCAAGCCAAAGGTTTAAATCTTTTTTTTTTTAATTTTTTAACATTTTATTTATTTTTGAGACAGAGAGAGAGACAGAGTGTGAGCCAGGGAGGGGCAGAGAAAGAGGGAGACACAGAATCTGAAGCAGCCTGACTGAGCCACCCAGGTGCCCCAAAGGTCAAAATCTTTGATTCCAGGGTTGTTTTTTCTCTGATATTGAATTGTATGTGTTCTTGTGAGCAGCCTCAGACCCTTGATGAAGTGAAGTAGTTTTCTGGAAAAGGATAAATAGGTTTATTTATTCAGCAAATACTTACTGTGCACCCACTGTTTACCAGGTATTGAACTAGATTTTAAGACAGAACAAGGCAGATGTAGTCCTGTTCTCATGGGATGGATGGTCTAGTGGGGGAGACTATATGTGTATATATATATATACATATACATACGCATATACACGTATATGCACATATATCCACACATGTACACACGCATATATAGTAAATACAAGCCCATGTCAACATGTGACCACAGAATGAGCGCTCACATAGGTAGTCTGACAAGAATAGGGGCTGCTTTGTTTGGGGTTTGAGGAGGCTCTCTGAAGAGGGGATGTTCTGATAGTGAAGTTCCCCCTCTGATGTTCTGAGGAGGTGAGTCCTAATGGACCAGAAGGAGCCAACAAGGATGGGGGTAGAACAGTCCAGGCTGGGGAATCTATGCCCTTGGCTACCTCCAGCCCTGGCCAGAGCACTTTATAACATGGAAAGTTGGGAACACCAGCCGTCTTGCCCAGGGCTGAGGAGGCATGGGTGTGTTTCATTATATTACTGTTACGACAAATATGTGAGCAAGAAAACATGGGCGAGAAGTCTGTGGGAAGTGGGCATGCTCGAATGGGCTCTCTAGAACTTTGAGGACCCTGAGGAGGGAGAGTGGGTAGGAGCTGGAAGGCCTCCAAGCCTCTGAGGCCTCACTGAAGTCACAGAGGCTGGCGTAGCATGAAGGGCAGCAGAGGCAGCCTGGGCCCAACTGAAGGGCCCTGAGAGCCAGCCAAGAGATGGACCTTACTGTGTGAAGTTTGGGATTGGGAGACAGCTCTGAAGCCTTGAGGCTCAACTTCAACAGACACTGGGCTTCAGTCAGGGTGGCCGTGCCAGACCCAGCCGGGGGGGGGGGGGCGGCTAGCATGGGGCAAGGCCACCCATGACATTTACCCAACCTCCAGAACCCATCCGGCTTGAATGCAGCACCCTGGTTGTGACACGGGCTCAGTGCTTCCCTCTAGGTAACTGTCACCATGCCACCCAGGCCCTAGGTTCCTCTTTTCTGAGCTACCCACATCAAGGTCCATTGGGATTTTGCCTTCATTGCTCTGACTTGGGGAGAAGGGTGCTTGAGGGGGTCAGCAGTGCTGGTGGCTCACAAGAGAGGTACTCAATGAGCATTTGTTGAATGAATGGATGGATGAACGAGCAAATGCATGCATGAATGAATAAATGGAATGGGTAAATAAATGAGGATTTGCTGTGGACTGTGTGAATGCATTGGTTTGTGTGGGTTCTCAGGCCCCAGAAATGGGGCAGTTTGTGGGCAGATTGTGTCAGCAAGAGGCAAGTGTGGAAAGCAAGAAGCAGATGGTTGGCCAGCAGATAACCCAGAGATGGGAAGGGGAATTCGCAAGGTCATCTAACAGGCACCCCCTTGCTTGGGCATTTGTAGGAGCTTGCCCTGGGGAGATCTGTGAGCGCCCACATTCTGAGCATCCTGCCACCACACCTCCTCTCATCCATATACAAGCACGCACTGGGGGGCGTCTGGGGGGCTCAGACAGTAAAGCATCCTACTTTGGCATGGGCCAGGATCTCATGGTTCGTGGGTTCGAGCCCCACGTAGGGGTCTGTACTGACAGCTCAGAGGCTGGAGCCTGCTTTGCATTCTGTGTCTCCCTCTCTCTCTGCCCCTCCCCTGCTCGTGCTCTGTCTCTTTCTCTCAAAAATAAATAAACATTAACAAGCACACATTGGCCCTCACAGGTGTCCACGCAGCCTCCTCCACGCCTCCCTCTGTGCTTGTCCTGAGTCAGGCCACCTCTGATCCTGGGCCTGGTCTGTGGAGCAGAGCTGGCATGGGATGGGGGCTACAGGACAGACCACAGGACAAGTAGTAAGTCTTCCCCATCCCAGACCTTCGCCCCTTCTTGTTGTCTTTCTCCAACCACCTATGTGGCCAGCACATCAGAGGATGACCATGACCGTGCAGCAGGAATGCTCTCATTTACCTCTGCCTAACTACATTTAGAAAATAGTTTTTTCCACAGTTTCCCTGCATCTCTGCCGGTAACTCTGAAGTGACAAATCAGGTTTGTGAGTTCTTAGGGCCAAGTTTCTGCCAGAGCAACCTGCTAGTCACATTCAGAGGTGCACACACTGGATATCTCTCAAGTTCATTCATGGTCTCAGGCCCACAGGTGCTAGAGTCACTGCACACCACCTCTGCACAGCCACATGCCCAGCCACTCTGATCATAGGAACAGTAACACACATGCTCATAGCCATATATAGCTGCAAAGTCACATTGTTACAGGCAGGCATGCTAGGGCAGCCACAGTGCACCATGGTTGTGACATTGTCATACATGAGGTCACACACGTGGGCTGAACCATGTAGGGTCACAGGGTTGTGCACGTTACTTTGCCCCTCCCCCTTACTGCTATCCCAACCTCCCAAAGTGCTCACTACCTCCCTGGGATGTGTCATTACCATCCCTTCCCCAACCCACATCCCTGATGAGGTCAAGGCTATCAAGAGCCCTATCCTTCCCTCGGCTTGCCTTTTCTGTGTCCATAATACTCACGGATGCCCTGATGGTCCTGTACAACTCTGAAAAGTACCCAACGGGCCTGTGTGGACTCTGGGGCACTACAGTCAAGCTGTGTGATAATAACAGTCTCTTCATTCAGGACCTCAATTTTTTCACCTGTTTAATGGTGGCATGGACTTGGTGGTTCCAAGTCCTTTCTGGCACTCATGATAGGGACAGCTGTGATCCTGTGACCCCTCAAGCACTTCCTGGGCCCTGGGCTCCTTGAGCCACCTGGCTCCTGAGATTCTACTCAAACCTTAAGGCAAATGCCTCTCAATAATGAATGGGCCCCAGTGAAGTTTCCTTGGGAACAAAGGAGAGCCCAGCTATGCTCTCACTGAAGGCCTGATACCTGGCTGTCTGTCAGGGTCACAGGAGGAGCCTGTGAGACAGGACGCCACAAAGCCTGATCTCTGGGGGACTCACCCAAGCCTTCTTAACAAGCAACACACTGGCAGAAAGAACCTTCTAGAAAAGCTGCCACATAACTCAACTGCAAGCTCAGGCAGGGTGTCTCAGTACAAGAGACAGTCATTGTTCTGAAAAGGCCAGAGGCAGCCCTCCTTCTTCCCCTTCTTGTTCCTGATCTTCCCAGACCCCTGGGGTTCCAACATAACCAGTATGTCCCCCTGAGTTCAGGAGAGGTCAGTAGATTTATAAATCCCCAAAATCTAGTCAGCGTCACCATAGGGAGATTTGTGTACTTTCCAAAGAGTGGTTGTTGAGTGGCCAATGTGTGCCAGGTGCAGTGCAGGAGCCCAGAGAAAATAAACCAAAGTGCACCCTAAGTAGCACTGGTGCAGGACGTTTCACAGTGTTCTCTGGAAAAAAAAAAAAAAAGTTCTGTGGTCAAGTAAGTTAGGAAAGCCTATTATATAATTCAGCTGGGCTGAACAAAGGTAAACCAGTTTCTTGCTTGTGGGTTTTGGCAGAGCCTGTATCAGGCTGTGTGCTGCAACAGTGTTCTGGGAGTGGGTGGAGAGAGAGTGTGAATCTCATTTCCACCCTGCTTTCTTCTCCAAGCCTCTGGCCGGGCAGGAGACCTTGAGCAATGCTGCTTGAGGGGCACCAGGATTCCAGATTCAGCAGGGTGCTGGAGAATCTGAATTTCTGCAAGTTGTCAGGAGCTGCTGCCAGGACATCACTTGGAAAACCACTGATCTTAGAACAGCTAGAGGGATCTTTCTAAGGCTAAAACACAGAGGTCCTCCTCTGCTCAAAGCTCTTCTGTGTCTCCCTCTCACTCAGCAGAAGCCACGTCCTCATGGAGTCTGTAAGGCCCCCCCACCTCAATGACACTGTCCCTCTACTTGTTTCTCTGTCCCTTAACCCTGCCCAACAAATCCCCACCTGGGGCCTTTGCTGTTGCTGTCCCTTTTGCCCTGTATAATGCTCCTCCCCCAGATCTTGGTGGGGCAATCATCCCTCATCCCATCATTCTCACCCCCAACCCAGCCTTGTACCCCTGCTCTTCCAAGAGGCCCTCCAAAACCACTGCTTTTTCCACAGCCCTGCATGTTGACTCCATGAGGCCAGGGCTGTGCTGTCTCATGACTCTGTTCCTAGCACCAAGCACAGTGCTCAGCAAAGGTTGGGGGGGACTGTTAAGTGAATGGAGCCCAGGACCCCAGCAGGGCTAAAGCTTGGGCCTCCCAGGCCAGACAGGCCTGAGCATCTAGGAACACCCTCACAGGTGGACTCTGGATGGGGCCCTCTGGTCTGATGCCAGGTCTGGTGCCCTGGGAAGGGCTGTGGAGGAGGGCAGAGGTGTCCAGGCTGGGGCCATGGGGAGTGGCCCTGTGGATGCCAGGTTCTGTCACTGGCTCTGTGAACCTTATCAGTGCTGAATTGTGTCCTATCCTTGGAGCACTCTGTGTTCCTGGTGCATCTCCCCAGAGGTCATGGAAGTGCTGATGAACTTATGATCCTGATGAGCTCAGAGGGTGTCCTGTGGCAGAAACCAGAAGTTTCTGAGGAACGGGGGCCAGATCTGTCTCCCCACTGCAGCCTCCATTGGCTCTGGCTTGGCCTAGGGGTAATCCCAGTGGGCAGCTGGGGGAAGGAGGGTTAGCCAAGCCCGTCTGACTGCCAGATGCAGAGGAGGTATAGGGAGGTTGTGGGGCAGTGGTACACTCTCCTCTTCTGTAAGGTGGGGGAGGAGGGGTGTGTTGCCCAGGACATTCACCAGGGTGGCCTGTCTGATTCTGTGTCTTGTGCTGGCGGTACCCCTGTAAGCCCTCCCCGCTCAGGTCAAGGCTGTGTTTGGGTAGCCTTGAGTAGCCCCCCACAGGGACTGTGTGAATTTGCACATGATATCAGTGGTGGCCTTGTTCAGGATTCCCAAGGAATTTTCTGGCAAGCAAGGCTTTGACTTTGGGCCTCCTGCCCAGTGAGCTGACATTAGGCCCTGAGCCTTGTTCTGAATGGCTCTGCCTGGTGGGTAGACTGAGGGCTGGGGTCCCTGGGCCACCTGTCCTGGCCTTCCTGTGTACTCATCTGCCGAGGCACACACAAGTGTGAGTGTTTGTGTATGTAGGTACCTTCAGGAAAAGCCTGCCGGTCTGAGCTCCCACAATCTCCCCCCCAGTGTGCCCTGCTTTTTTAAACTACCATTTATTGAGAGCTTACTGGTGCCAGGCCTGTATTTTAATCCTTACAGAAACTCTGTTCCCTAGGGTTGTGTCTCTCAAAAGGGTATGTTGAAGTCCTAAACCCTCAGTACTTGTGGATGTGACTTTATTCAGAAATGAGGTCTTTGCAAATGTAATCACGTTGAAATGAGATGATACCGGATGAGAATGGACCCCAATCCCATGATTGGTGTCCTTACAAGAAGAAGGAAATTTGGATACGTAGGGAAGACAGCCACTTGAAGAAGGCAGAGAGTGGAGTCATGTGGCCCCAAGTCAGGAACTCAGGGGCTACCAGGAGCTGGAAGAGGCCAGGAAGTGTCCTCTTCTAGAGTCTTCAGAAGGAGGATGACCCTATCGACACCCCAGCTTTTAAATTTGGGCCTCCAGAACTAGGAGAGAATCATTTTTTGTTGTTTGAAGCCACTTAGTTTGTGGCACTTTGTTACGGTGGCCCCAGTACCCCTAGCTTCTATTATGATCTCCATTGCATGAGGAGATGAGGCTCAGAGAGGTTGAGCTCCTGCCCACAGCTACACAGTAAGTCAGTGTTGTACCTGTGATTGGAACCCAATCTGCATAACTCCAGCCTTTCCCTCATGGACCCCGGAACTATCACCTCCTCCCTTACCTCCATCCCCTGACCCATGAAAGCACACCAATCCCCAGCCTCAGGGGAGACCCCATGCCCTCCCTGCTAGTGGCCTCCAATCTTGTTTGCTGGCTCCTAGACTTTCCCAGTGTCCTGGCTTCCCCAAGCTCCAATCCTACCTATCTACTCTTCCCTCACCACGCCCTGGACCCCAGCGTGGCCTCAGTCCATGTGGGAACTCTGGTTGCCCCACAACCCAGCATCCTGCCACCCTTCCTGCCATCTCCATGAAGTCATATCTCCCTGCAGCTGGACCCCTTTCCTCCAAACAACCCAGGCCGCTCTGTTCTCAGACCTCTCCCTTTTCTGAAGGGGCTTCTTGGGGGCTGTCCTGCTGGGACCTCCATGCTCTCTCTTTGCCAAGCACAATGCCCCCGGACACTCAGACTCCTGTCTTACCCCAGCTCCTTGCCAGTGGCCATAAGACCAAGCCAGTGAGACCTGGCATTTCTCCTTTCCCCGTTCCCATGGGTCCCTGACCCCCAACTCTGTCCCAGAACTCCTGAATTCCTACACTTTGCTGAGAGGTGGCTACCACCTCTCCCCAAAGAGGAATAGCCCCCTGGCCGATGTCACCCCCATGTGCATCCCCCTTCACCCTGGGCTGGTCACCTGTCACACTTAGGGCTTTGCCCAGTCTGTCCAGTTAAGCACCTCCTCTGAGTGCTGAGGTTTCCAGTCTCACAGAGTGGTCCTTATGAAGGGGAAGGCTGCACCCCTCGCTGGCACACCAAGCCTCTAATACTCCCCTGCTGCCTATAGGATGGAGGCTAAGTTCCCCTGCGTGGCCTTTGTGGCCTTTCCTGCTACTGTCCAGGCTCCTGTGGTCAGCAAGTTTCAGACAGTGTCTGGGTTCTAGTCCTCTCTGCAGTAGGGCCTTCCCTGGTTCCCTGCCCCCAACCCGCTTGATCCCTTGCCTTTACCCTGGCCCAAGGGCAAAACTGACACTGCCCAAAGCAGGTGCAGATCTGTTTGGCCAAATCTGACACAGGCCTGGCATGATCTGACAAATCCTGTGTCGGCCTGGTTGAGAGAGGAAAGGAGGGCAAGGCCATTACTTGCCTGATATTGTGCTGACCTTCCCTGGACAAGCAGAAGTTTGCATAAGAGAGGTCACCAGAGTCCCTGTGTCCATGTGGCATAGCAGGACACCGGCACATGCAGGGTGTAGCAGCTTGTGTTGGCGCCCTTCCTGGTCCCCTCCCTCTTACAACTTTCATGCACACAAGGCCGACTTCCTTGCTGGTACTCCAGGCCCTGTGCAGAGGGCGTTCTTCCCCCAGATGGCCCGGAAGTGCCAGGCCTGCACCATGGCTATCGGGAATGTGAGGATAAACCCCTCGTCTCCCTTATCTTCAAGTGGGAGGGCCCCAAGGCACGTTCTGCATTGTGTCCCAGAGCTCTCCCATGTAATGGGGCCCCGGTCACCCACAGTGGCCATCTGCTTAATAACATACTTTTCACTGGCTGCTTTCGTTTCTCTGTGTCACTTCCCCTTGCCCTACTGCTGTTTCCCAGAATCACCTCCCAAATAAATTACCCCTGAATCCTTTCTCGGGGTGAGCTTCTGGAAGAACCTAAACTAAGATATGCAGCAAACTAAGATATGCATAAAGAGTCTCACACAGGCACACATACACATGCAGCAGACACATACAGCCATGTAGAAGTGCTCAGTGACACGGCCAGGCACATGTGGTCAGTCGTACTCAGACACGCACACATATGCGTGCACACACAGATACGCTCATACTTCTAGACACACGGACACATCCTCAGTCATGACGCAGACACATGCACACACAGCTAGGCACACACCTGTGTCCGTTCCACGTGTGCTAGAGAGGGGACCAGAATGAACTGACCGGACCCTCCCTCCAGAAGCACAGAGATCCTCAGAAGAAGACCCAGGCCCGGTAGCCACAGAAGCGGAGGATCTGGCCTGAAGATCTCAGCAGCTTGAGCCCCATGGGGCCCGGAGGAGAAGCAGCCTTTCCTTCTACCTGTGGAGGGTGGGGGCATTTGAGCCAAGGGTAGAGGGTAGGATTTGCCCTGAGGGCTGAACACTGGGGTGTTCCAGGCAGAGGGAATAGTGTAGACCAGGCACAAGGGTGGGAAGATCTGGCCCATGAGGTGGGATGGGGTATAAGGCAAGGCTGGAGCAGGGACAGAGCAGATGGGCTGTGGAGAACCTTGCCTTATTCTGACAACCAGAGGGGAGCCATGGATGGGTTTTGACTGAGGGAGCACACGGCAAGCCCCAGGGAATACTGACAAGTGTAATCATCCCACATCTACGTCAAACCCCTTCTCGCCTCCTCGAGGACCATAAGACAAGTCCCATCCCCTCTGGAATTCAGTGCCTCCCTTGCACAGGTGGATGCTCAGGCCCCACACATATGAGTAATCTGTTGGGGGGTGAACCTACCTGGGACCCAAGGATGACTCACCACGGGAGGCCTTTGTCACCTGGGTGAACCTCTTGGCTCCTGGCAGCTGGGATGGGAGGGGCCAATCCCCAAGGAGCAGGGGAACAGATGGGTGGAAACTAGGCAGTGGAGGTGAGTCCACACCAGGCAAGCTTGTCACTGCCCACCTTAGCCCAGAGGAGCTGTGTATCTCTTCCATCCCATAACTTGCCCTTCTGGGGCCTGGGATGCCATTTCTCTGTGGAAGACCTGCTTGTCCTTGAACCCCCCTTCCCACATGCCTCCTCCTGGAAGCCTCCCATATTATCCACAGAGGGACACCCCAGTGCTGAGCTGGATGGAACCCCTCAGAGGACACTCACTGGGCTCAGCTTGCTTGATGGCTCCTTCTATCTGATTCCCCTGATGAGCCAGGCACAAGGGCTCCTGTGTCCCTGACCCTCCATAATGTAGTGATCCCAGAATAGGGCTAGGCACACAGCTAGTACCTCACAGATGCTTGTGGAATTGAATTTCCTGCTACCAACCTAATAGAAAGCCCTTCTCTCTGAGTCCGGGCATCACTGGGGCCCTTGAAAGGGTTTCCCAGTGTCGCTTGGGTCCAGTGAGTCGGGTGACTGAACTGTCAAAGTTCTGGTGACCTTTCCCTGTGTCAGGCCGATGATGAGTGCCCAGCACTGCACTGGGCAGGGTGACCCAGCAGGGTATGGTTCCTGCTCTACTGGAGCTCATGTTCCCCAGGAAGATGCACAAGAAAGCAATTGCTCA